ATAATAAATGCTTAAGCTATATTTTAAAGTTCAAAAATGGGAGGTGAGTTATATTTTAGAACGTAAAATTTTTGATGTTTTGGAAAATGTTACATGATGTAATAATATTTTTGAAACAGTCTGCTTCTAAACTTCAGATTGCTAAATTTGAATCTGGTATAGCAGTTACTGATATGATTCTGAATTTTATCTATTACTGTGCTGTTCATTAGCAACTTGAGCAACTCTACCGCAGTTTGTTAGAGAATCCTTGTTTGTTTGTTGTCAGACCATATTAACAGATCTTAAAATAATTTTTAATCATTGAAGTATTGTAAATATTTTACATTATTTGAGATTATATATTATAATAACAAAATAAGAATTCTTAGCTACTTTTTTTTTTTGCTTAGAAAAATTGTAGCATCAAGACATTTACTGAGAGTGTACGAAGCAAACAAAATTTTATTGTGCTATAATAAATCAACTTTAATACATTCTTTTTAGGCAAAAAAAACAAAAAAAAAATTATTTTATCGAAAATATCAAAAAAAAGAAAAAAATTTAAGGAACATTCTTTTTTTTTCTTATTCTTACTCATATACAACAGTTTATTTTATTTATTCTTTTTTTTTTATCTTTAAATTTAACATTGATGTTGAAAGGAAAAAATTTATTGCTGTTGTTATTACTGCTTTTTATTTTTTTGCCACTAACATTTAGCTGATTTATGGGCTAAGGAGGGAATAACCAACAACAGCGTCAAATATACGTTTAATTAGTAGGCTTAATTACAACACTAATGCAAACGTTTTTCTTGTTTTAGAAATTGACGGTATTTTTCATATGTAATGATTTATTGAATGAGAAAAAACAGTAAGAAACTATAAAATTGAGCAATTTAGAAATCAGATTCTGAATCAATTAATTTTATACTTTTCTATTGCCTTATTCTCAATTCATAACAACATTTCTAATCATTACTCTTTTTTTTTTTAAATTTTTTATTTTGGTCTTTCTTTGTTTTAACTAATCAGAACATTACCTCAAACAGTTTTTGGTATTTTGAGTTTTCCTAACGTTTTCAGTAACTGCATTTTGTACGTGTAAAAAAAAAAACAGAAAAAATTTCATTCAATAAAGTGTCAAACAGTTATTTTTTTTAATTTATATTAATTACCAATTTAACGCGAAAGTTCAGCTGTTATAGTTATAAACATCAAAACATTTTTTAATCCTAAATCGCTGCTCATTAGTCATTTTTTATGCAGCTGACTGATAAACAGTTGACTTTTTTTCCAATTTTTTTTGGCTGTAGTTGTTTGAAAAAGTGAAAAAGGTGCTTGTAAAGATATTTTGTTCTCATGCGTTGTAATAGATAAAAAGATAGCTTGAATAAAATATATTTCTAGAAAATCCAGGCTTTTTCTTTATTTTATCCCCGAGTAACTGATTGATTTTTTATGTGTATTAGAAACCCATTAAATTACTGCTGTACTTGCAAATGTTTTAAAATTTTACAAATAAGAAGAAAATAGCAGATTGTTTTGGTAAAGTTTCAATTTTCAAGGCAAGTAAACCAGGTGTTTGTCAAAAAATTTTACGGCCGATATTTGAATGTGCAACAGATATATGGCTGCAATATAGAGCTGCAACAAAAAACGATAGTTTAACAAATTTTTTGTAAAGTACAGTAACCCTGATTACAGTTCAAAATCCGATACAGTGAAATTCAAAAGTTTACAGTTTAAAACTAAATTTTTCTAAAAAAAAATTTTTTTCTTTTCTTATAAAAAAATCATTCTTTCACTCAAAAATGAATAAAAATTTTTTTACTATAAGGGTTATTTGTTAATTATTTTATATTTTGATTACTTTTGTAACAGTTGCAACTTTTCTTTTGTCAGCAAAACGCATAAAGAATTCCTAGCAAAAGGCAAAGAAAAGTTTTTTTCAGCAACAAATTAGCATTGTAATTTTCAAAGATGAAAAAAACATTATTTATACTTATTGGAACAAAGTGTAAATAAATGAATGTAAAACTTTTCTCATCTTTTTTTTTGCAGTGTATACTTAAGCTATTATCGAAGTTTAAGTAGTAGAAGTCCAAAAAATGCTTATACATCTAAACTTATTTTAGTTATTGAAACATTTCTAAAATTACTAAATAAAAAAGTAGTAAAAAAATTTATAAAAATCTCAATATAGTCTCAAGAAGATTAGAATTTTTATTAAATTGAAAATAAATTGTTAGTTTGTTTAGTAATTATCGAAAAAATTGAAATTTTCAAGTTTTTGAGTTATAATCAGTAGTCAACTTTATTCAACGTCTAAATTTTGTGTTGGAAAAATTTTCTTTATTAACATTGAACAGTTTCAGAGTCTAACAGAAAAATCAGCAGATCATTGTTTTATTTTGGTGAGGCACAATTGCTTTTTCACATGAAGTAACAGCTTAATTTACAACAAATGTTGTTGTTTTTTTTGGCAAAAAATTGAAAAAAGCTTCTGTTTTTTACTGATCAATTTAGAAAAGTTTAATTCTACATAAAGTTTCTTCTGTTTTATATAAATCTGCTATTTCAAATAATGTTGAAACGCAGCTGTAAACAGACAGAAGAAAAAATTGGTAGAGAGATGAAAAATTATAGAA